TGGATAGGGTACTTTGGCTTTGATTCTGCATGCATGCAGGCTGTATATGATTTCTTTGTCTGTAACCACAATTAGTGATATATACGATTTTCTCAGTGGGTTCGGGTGTGGTTAACAGCAGAGGCTGTGAAGAAGCAGTCCTGGGGACTAGGATGCCAGGTAGGTCTGTCTTCAGGCCCCAGTGGTGGCAACAGTTGGCTGAGACTGTCTATATTTGTGCCTCAGAGTGACGTAGGCTGGCACCTGTTTTGACAATTCCTAGTGGGCCAATTCTTGGGCCTCCAGGTGGCTTGCTTGGATACCAGTAGTGGCAGCAGTGAATCAGGCAGGTGGGTGGGTTCTCAGGCCCCTAGGCAGCTGGTGTGGCATGGGTGACGGCAGTAGCAGTGGCAGGATGATTTTTGGGGTCCTGAGTGGTGTACATTGATGTTGGCAGTGCTTGCAATGGGCTGGGCAGGCCAGTCTCTAGGACTGCAGGTGGTGCTTGCACAGAGGGGCCAGCTGAGATGGTAGTGGCCAGGAGTTTGGGCCCAATCTGAGTTCCCTGAGAGGAGCATACTCAAGGTGGTGGATGGGTTGGGCAAGCCCAAGGACCCTAGGCTATGTGCTCTGCCATGAAAGAGGAGCCAAAGCCAGGGCTTATGCTCAGGCCCCCAAATTATGACAGCAGGCACCAGCCATCATGAGCAGGAGCAGGCCCCAGGTGGAGTGCTCGGCTGAGAAGTCGTAGCAGCTGTGCTGAGGCCCTGTCACTGGAGAGAGGGTTTGTCTTTGGTGGCCACAGCCTGGGCAGGTGCATGGGGAACACACGTCCCTCTCATGCTCCAGTCTGGGCAGGTCTTGCTTCCCAACCTTGGCAGCAGTAGCCCACACCTAGCTCGCCCCCCTTGCCTCTCGCGGCAGGGGCACCCCCCGGATGACAACTAAGTTCCAGTGTCAATTTGTGCCCCGCTCACATCCCAGCCTCCTGCCAATGCTCACTTCTCAGCACCAGCAGCTGCAGCTGAAGCCTGTGCCTCACTTGCTTCTTAGCCTCAACTGTGGAAGTGCTCTCAGCTCACTCCTCAGTCCCGGTAGCAACAGCCCAAGTTTCCATAATGCTCCAGTCTAGATGCTGCTGGGCTCCAGGACAGCGTGCAGTCTGCCGAAAACTAGATTTGAAAATAGTTCCTTGCTATAGCAGCTTGGGTCTCAGAAAGGAACCCCGCACAACCTTCCTCACTGGAGCAGTTCCATCCCACAGTCTCCAGGAGTCTCTCTATGTTAGTTTCAGGGATGAAAGGGTTGAAAAGTTCTCTGTGACCAGAATTGCACATTTCTATTTTTCTTTTATTTATTTTTTTTGAGACAGAGTCTTGCTCTGTCGCCCAGGCTAGAGTGCAGTGGCACAATCTTGGCTCACTGCAACTTCCACCTCCTGGGTTCAAGCAATTCTCCTTCCTCAGCCTCCCAAGTAGCTGGGACTACAGGCATGCACCATGGAACCTGGCTAATTTTTGTATTTTTAGTAGAGCAGGGTTTCACCATCTTGGCCAGGCTGGTCTCGAACTCCTGACCTCAGGTGATCCACCCACCTCAGCCTCCCAAAGTGCTGAGATTACAGGCATGAGCCACCACATCCAGCCAGAATTGTACATTTCTACAATGGGCATGTGGGCTACCGGAAGTCTCTCACTTACCCTTTCCCCATGCTGGGAAGTCACTCCTGGCTCCCAGCCAATCCCAGCCAGGCAGGCTGCCTTTTTCCTTTCTCTTTCCCCACTTGTGGTGTTTCCTGTCACTTCTCTGTTGAATTCCAGCATTCTCTCTTGGATAACGTACTCAAAATGTGATTGCCTGTACACTATTTTGGTTCTTATAAGTGGGGGAGGCAGGCATGCAATGCTTCTACTCAGCCATCTTGACGCCCCTCCTCTGCCTTGTTATCTCACAGTAGCTTTTGGTTGCTTTCTTCTTTGCTTCCTGTCATACCTCCCAACCCCAGATAACAATATTAACATTCAGGAGCTCATAGGATCACATATAAACACCTGTACCTGTGAGAGGACTTACACTGCTTTACAAAAATCAGATTATATCATACATACTGCTTTGCACCTTGCTTTCCTCTCTTAACAGTATATTCTAGAAATGTGTTCAAAGTCAACCTGCAGATTTCTCATTCATTCTTCTATGTTTAAAACATCTTCCAAAGAAATATTTTGAGAGGTAAATATAAATAACACGAAGGACCTTTGGGCTCTGAACCTTTTCCTCTACCCTTCCTCCAGTCTGACTGAGTCAACACTTCTCTCTGGGAAACTGTGGAAAATCAGGCTGAGGGCTGGGGGGAGGCTGTTCTAACATCAAGAATGATGGCTCTTACCAGTCAAATGACAACTGACTTGGGTTCATTTGTATTCAGCAAGTCTGTAGACTAAATCACTGTAAAAAAAAAAAAGGCTCTAGCATTTTAATTTCACTCTTTTAAAATATATATTTAATGGCTATAACATGATAGCTGTGAAATAAACCCTTCTGTTAGATATTGTAACCGTGAAATATAGCTTTTTAACTAGTTGGCGGTGAAATTTTTGCTGCGTTCAATCACTCAATGACTGAAATATTAAACAGGAAGGGGAACGTGTGTGGAAAAAGTCTCTCCTACCTGGCAATAGCTAGATTGCAACCAGCAAGGTCAACTGCAAAATGACTGTCACCTCTAATGTGGAAATTACTGTCCTCCCAAATGGGCCACTGCTGACTCAAAGCCAACAATTTCTTTAATTTTTCCCTCCTCGTCTACAAGTTACTTTGGGAAACTTCATGATCAGCACTATTCTTTTTATACTCTTAGGTGCTGACAGCAGAAAGGATTTGTGCCAAAGGCTCAAGCCAAGCTTTGGGGAATGGTGCCTTTCTCCCTAAAACCCAGGGACTGGGCTACGTTTCCAGGCTCTTGATAGAAGAACAAAATAAAATTTCTACCTGTGAAATGTTGATTCTCACTTTCTCCCTTACTACAGAACTCCAGTTCTTTGTTCAGAGTGGCAATGCAGTTGGTTAGAAAAACACCTCTTCAGACTCCCTTGCAGCTAAATTGGCCATGTGGCTTGGTGAGATGGAAGCAGAGGTCTAGAGGGAAGGCTCCTGGGAAAGCAGGAAAATATTTTTTTCCTGATAAAAAGGGGCAGACTTAGGTGACAGGTGCCTTCCACCTTTTTGTCCCTTGACCTTCCCCTTATTTTCCTGCCTGAGTTGTGAACTCACTGCCTGGAGCTGGAATCACCCCACACTAAGGATGGCAAAACAGGACACTGAAGAGGGAGCTGCTGATGACTCCCTTGAGCAGCTGTACCAGCCTGGGATGGCTGACTTCCAGATTTCGTTGTTATTTTAGAAATATAAATCCCTATTTGGTTAAGACACTGTAGTCACTTTAGTCAGCCTTTCATAAAATTCAGTCTAACAAGCCTATCTGATATGTAGGTAATAGCTAGAGGGAAAGCTACTTAGTCTGAGCGACTTACACGTTTCTCTTCATGGGCACTTAGCTCTATGGAGTTGACATTAGTTCCCATTTTGCTTTGGCTGCCAGGATACTCAGAGTCAAATGTGGTGCCGAAATATCTCCCATATAATCCTAGATATATACCTAATATTATATCTATGATATATATGTTCTCAGACTCAGCCTCTTCTTCCAAAGTATTTATAAAACTGATTATAACTTTCTATTTGATTTATACTGTATTATTTTATTGTGTACATTTCCATGCTTTCAGTTTTTGTGGAATTAAACAAGGTATACATTTGTGTGTACACACATATGTACACACATATACAAAAGCGTATATATGTTAAGTGGTTTCCATGTGCTCACTCATTGAACGAAGCACTTGTGAATTAATCATGAATCTGCCACAATGGTCTTCTACCCTTGGTACATTATTCTCCCATTTTATAGATAAAGAAACTGAGACTTAGAAAGTCTAAGCTACTGAGCCAAGTTATATCCAAGTGAGTAAGTCAGTTTTTGAAAGCCTTCAAGACCCAAATTTGCTGAAGTCTTTTCTGTTTTTCTTTTAAACAAATAAAAATTTTAATAACTTTTTACCTATTGCTGCTCTAAAAGAAGTTAACACCAGGTTTTTCTCTGATTGTGTCAATTTCTCTCATTGTGAGTCTACTGTTGTGATTTCCCCTTCACATTCTTTTTGTGAATGAATTGTAGAAATTAGAAACGGGAAAGACTTGTCAGCCATGAAATATACATGTTCAAGAGCAAAGGAGAGAAGTGCTTGGCCGACAAGACTAAGACCTCGCACTTAGGAGTGACCCAAATGTTTCTTAAAGATGGTAGAAGAGCAATAAATCCCACGGGCTCCGTAAGTGACATCAGAAGAGCAAGGGCTGGGGCAGAGCATGTAGCTGGAAAGGGAAAGTTTTCAAGTGATGAAGATGAGTAAATGATGCGTTCCTGGACGCTTCTCATTTCGTAGGCTGGAGGGGCTAAGGAATCGGATTGGGAGCCAACAGGAATTTGTTTAGAGGTTTCTAGTACAATATAATTGCTTCAACAAATATTGATTGAGTGCCTCCTATGCTCCAGATCCTGTTCTAAGCACTGGGGATACATCAGTGAAAAAAACAGACAAAAATGCCAGCTCCGTGGAGTTTACATTCTAACAAGGGGAGACAATGCACATAAGAGAGTAGGTTCTGTGGCATGTTAGAAGATAGTTGCTACAGAAGAAAGAAAAAGTAGAACAGGAATTACTGCTTAGTAGACATTCACAAGTTTCCAGTGTGCTGAGCATTTTGCATGCATTGTTTCATTCAGTCCTCCCAAGAATGTTACGGGATTCCCTTTTCACAAACGAAGAAACTGAGGTTAAATAAAGTGAAGTGATTTGTCAAAAGTCATGCTGCAGTAATAGCAGAAGCAGGATCTGAACTCCTCAGAGTTGACCACACCCACGTGGCATGAGGAAGGTATCAGGGGCCACTGTCTTCCTTACCCATCTCCCATCCTTGTCTAAAGGTGGGTTGAAGCGCCGCCCTTTGGCCATTCTCTCCAGGAAGCTGAATGTGGCTGAGGTTGGCTCCCTCACCTCTCCATGGCTTCATAAGCTCCACACATCTGGGAAGCCACTCCTCTTCCTTGTTCCTGATTTTTACTTCTCAGCCTCTACCAGGAGGGGAAGGTGCAGGTGCCCATTGTTGTCATGGAATGGAGCTCACCCATCACAATGGGTAGAGGAGTCTTCTAAGCCCTCTGAGGATTCCTGCCACCAGTTCCTTGCAGCTGTGACTCCCCAGGGTAAGAGGCAAAGAGCCACCAGTTCCCAGCTGGGGAAGCCCCGTGATCAGCTCAGACAGGTGAGGACAAGATGATTCGGGGGTAATGGCAAACATTTTGTAACCTCTCAATTCTTGAACCAATAATGTTTGAGTTGAATGTCCACCATGGCAGTCATACGTTCCACCCTGTTAGTTTTCAGCGAAATAAGTTGTGTCCCAGGCTGGGTGTGACCTTGTCTGCATCAGTGGCACTGCTGTGCCCAGGACCCATGCTTCCTACCATCTCCTGTGGCAGCCTCTGTGTCTCAGCTCAGGCCCAACCTCAGGACTCACTCACAGCCACTCTTACCTGCCTGGCACAGCATTGAGGCCACAAGGAAGTAACATCCATGAGTAATTACCATATGCCAAGTGCTGTGCTAAACTAAACAGTCACCTGTTTTTATTTTTTCTCCGTGACAACCTTCAACATTTACAAATAGAAAACAAGGATCATACAGCAATGGATGGGACGCCAGACGTCCCAGCAAGGTCATGGGACAGCTCCAGAGCTCACGGGCCTTGCCAAGGACCACCTGGCCTCCCCAGGGCTGCAAAGGCTGCTCCTGAAATCTGGTATTTCTCTCAGGGCCTGGACACACATGTCCTGCCTCCCTTCTACTCAGTAAGGTATTTTCTGCTTTTCTTTCTTTCTCCTTTTTTTTTAAATGTTGTGTCTTGCCAATTCTCTCGGCTATTCCGTGTGAATACGAGAGTAAACATGTACAGGACGACCTGTCCAGCTGCCCTCTCGCTCAGAAATTGTGTCCTGCACCCTCTCCTCTCCTCTCATGAGCTGCCGTAGTAGTGATACGAGATCATATTCACTGCCATCACCGAAGAGCCAGAGGTGGGCTCCTAGATGTGACGCCAGAGATGCATAGGTCCTCTTGCACTGTGATGCCAAAAGCCACATGGTAGAGAGAGAGAGGAGGAAAAGATGGTGGGCTGCATCTGTTGCTGTTGCAGAGCTGCTGCACCAGGCAAGCCTGTTGTGTGTGTAGTAAACCCTTCCAGGATTTCTGCTACCTGCCGACAAGCCCAGTGCAATGGACACAGTGTATTTACCAGGCATTGCCCACTGCTCTCCAAAGCCCAGGTGTAAAGAAATACTCCCAGCAGCCGCAGTGCAAGGGAGCCTGCCATCTCCCAGCCTTGCCAAGATGCACTATATTGATTAGGATCAAATTTGACCGGGACAGGAAACCCAAACTAACAGGGGCTTCAACACGATAGACATTTATTCTCTCTGCATAAATGAAGTCCAGAGAGAGGTCGTCCAGGCTCAATATGGCAGCTCTGCTGTTTGGGATTCTCAGAGATGAGGCTCCCTCCCACCTACCGCCGCTCACCAGCCCCAGGGGGCAGCTGTCATCTTGTGGCACCAGATGGCATCTACGTTCCAGGCAGCAGAATGCAGGAAGGGAAGTAGATGGGAAAGGGCGTGACCCCATGGATCATATTGGGCCAACCCCAACTGGCTCAGCTGCTTCCTCCTAAGGAAGGCTCCTGGTGTCTCCCACACAACACTTCCTCTCGTGGGCCGGGACTTCAACCACCTTACTGTAAAGGGGGCTGCAAAGTAGGCTTTGTCCTGGTGGGTTGATTGCCCAACCAAAAGTTTAATCACCATGGAAGAGAGAGAGAAGCAAAATCAAAGGACAGCCTGAAGCCCCTGCCACCCCAGCGGGTGTTCTTTCATCTTTAATTTGATCATTTAATTCCCCAAATTCTTACAAGAATAAGCCTAACTTCATTCCAATTAGCCTGGGGAGCGGGAGGGCAGAAGAGGATGCATAGTGCTGTCTACTTCTCAGGAAGAACACATGAAAGGCACTTCAATGTTTACTAAGTACTTACATATTCATTGTTTTCGGCAACTTTCATGACAACCTTAAGACATGTGCTGGTTATTTTTCTTCTGTGTGTACCCCTCTCCCATTCTTTCGTTATCCAGTCCCTATTCTGCAGCCTGGAGTCTAACCTGTAAAGGCTGTATCCCCTCTTCCCCTATGTTTTGGCTCTTTTTTTTCTTTTTAATTAATTTTTTTTTTGAGATTGAGTTTTGCTCTTGTTGCCCAGGCTGGAGTGCAATGGCGTGGTCTTGGCTCACTGCCTCCTGGGTTCAAGCGATTCTCCTGCCACAGCCTCCCAAGGAGCTGGGATTACAGGCACCACCACCACACCTGGCTGGTTTTTGTGTTTTTAGTAGAGACAGGACTTTACCATGTTGGCCAGGCTGGTCTCGAACTCCTGACCTCTGGTGATCCGCCTGCCTCGGCCCCCCAAAGTGCTGGGGTTACAGGCATGAGCCACCATGCCCGGCCCATTCTTTGGCTCTGGCTGGATTCATCCCATAGGAAGTAGCGCTGGGAATCAGAAGGGCAGAAGGAGATAGGCAGTGGTGTACCCCTAAATAGTTCACAACCAGCCCTTCAGAGAAAAAGCAGCCTGATTTGTAGTGGCATCTGCCAATTTCCATGCATCAGTACTTCCACCGTGGTGGATTTTAAGCTACTGACATCCCTGAACAGGGTGTTGGGAACAGATGTACATAACACACTGGTACATCAGAGGTTCAAAGTATTGGCCCTGCAGGCTCTATTCCTACCAGGCCATAATTTGGAAGGGGCTGTGCTTGCCCACTTATGTCCATAGCTCCTGCTGGGCAGCCTGTTCCCCTCAGCCACAGTTCTTCCCCTTCACACTTCCCTGTCCCTACCCCTTCCGCCCAAGGCTTCCTGCTCTTGCTGATCCCAGGAAGCTGCGCTATTCTTGTCAGTTCCTGTAACCCCGCCCTCATCTCTGAGAGGAGACCCTTCATTACAGTCTCTTCTGTCATGGAATGTGTCACTGGTTTCACTGCAGGGATGCGGACTGCAACTGAAGCAGGTGTTCACAATTATCTCACTTACCGACGAGGAAACTGAGCCTCCATGAGGTGAAGTGACTCACCCACAGTCACACAGCTAATATATGGCAGAGCCCACACCAGAAGCCACATGTACCAAAGCCAAGTTCAATGCCAGCATAAATCAGTTTTCATTTTAATGCTCTTGCTTGATGCTGTTAAATTATTGAGCAGTGATTTTATAAGAGGATTCCTTTTAATTCCCTTTCCTTAATCTGCACAAAACAGGGCCTGTTGAAATGCCTCCCGATTAGCCACAGTCCCTCTCCAAGGTGAGCTCTTGTCGGCCAGGGGCCAAATGACAGACACCACGTGCCACCAACGCCACACAGAGAAAGGTGATGGGCCAGGACAGAGTTCTGGTTCTCCTGCACCCTAAGAAGAAAGGAAAAGTCAGAGAGGAGGAAGGAAGCCAATGACAACATTTAAAACCTAAAAACAGTGGCCATTTCCAACTCAGTGTTTCACATGCATTCACTTTGTCTCCACCAATGGAGCAGAAAATCTCTTAGAACTGAAATTTCATTTTAAAATATATTTCGCATTGCCTCTGTATTTAGTCTTATGCTCTGTTAAACACGGTATATGACTGCTGGTTCAAGTATGTTCTAATTTTCTCCTTTTGAATCATTGTTTAAAATTCTAACAAATTTGTCCAAGAAAATCAAAGCTAAGCACGGAAACCTGGCCAGAAAAAATGAAATTCCACTTCTCTTCAGCTAGGATTTCCCAGCCACACGTTAGAGTAGGGCTCTTCATTGTGGCTGTTATTATTTTCAAGGTTTAAATTACTAGGCTGTACTTTGTGACCCACCACTTTGAAAACAAGTCCTGTACCACTAAGGGTACTCAGACCACCAGGGCTGAGAACGCCGGAGGGTCAAGTTCGATCCTGTCTCGTGCCTTTGCACGTGCTCACACACAGTGGTCCAAAACCACCAGCTAGGGACTGTCTGCAAACACAACACTGAGCCAATCACTCATGCAATAAATATCACTGCGCATTTGCCATGTGTCACCACTGTTTTTGGACAGCATTAAGGCAATCAGTTCTTTATAAATAGCAAATCACGAATTTAACAATACATTCAATGACCAGTACCTCAAACCTATTGATTAACCAAAAATTATTTTCACTGGACTACTGACAACTTTTATAGCTAATTGTTTTGTCCAGTGCATTTTTTGATATGACAGTTTTTGTGTTCTTTGAACTTTAAGTCTTTTCTTAAAGGTAGTACAGGGTGAATGCATTTATATCTTCCACGCATTTCCAGGGCAGCATGCCATTCGTCATTTTAATTAAGAATGTGCTGTCTTTTGCAGGAGAGGAAGTGGTAGAATTAGGGGGACTTTGCAGAATGTTCTCACGTGTGTGTCTGCACATGCCTACCCACAAGTGCACCCACAAACACTCAGCTCCCTCATATGCAGGCATGTGACGGTTTGTTGTTCTACCAAATGAAAGATTCATTTTCATGTTAATGTCCACAAATCCTGGACAATTAAACATGCATTTGGGGAAGGCCAATCCATTTGTCTGTGAAGTGTTAACCATCTGAGAAATACTCAGGTATCTTAACTATAAAGCACATTTTGGGTTCACCCTGGAAGGATGAATCTGGATTCTTTCTGCAAATAGCAACCAAATTGAAGTGACTCAGCTGCATTTATTTATTATGATACATGATTCATATGGTACTAATAGAAATTGTCGTGAATATATAGCAATTTGTATGCCATCTCGAAAAGAACTCAGGCATCTGTAACATAAAGCACATTTTTTGTTTTACCCTATGTTGCAAACTATCTGGAAAATTAACTGTTCTCTCTCCCTCATACTCAAGGGAACAATTCCTGGATCAACACAAGAAAGACAAAACCAATTGAAAGATAAGAAAGATAAGTTGGCCAACTA